GGGCCCGGATTGACTCCAGTGAAGCTTGTCCCTGCAGGTTGATGCTAGTGGAGGAGGAACTGCGCAGGGATCACTCGGTCGCCCTCGACACCTCCGAAACGCGGAAGCGGCTGCTCGACGCTCAGGTGGAAATTACAATGTCATTGTCCTTTCCCATGTCTCCATCGGCCATCCACCTCTGCCCCCCCGTCTGCGTCTCCCCCCCCGCTTGCTCCCCTGGGTGTGGCTGCCCGTCCTCTGTCCGTGGGGTTGGGCTGGGACTGGAACAGGGGGCCCTGGTAGCCAAGCATTGGGGTTAAAGCAAATTGCTCTCTCTGTACCCAAATCCGCCCTCCCCCAAGGAAGAGGTGCATTCCTGAGATGGTGGGGGGCAGCTGTGCAGAAGAGGCGGGTCGGAGGGAGGAAGCGGAGGGGGGTTGCCTGGAGACTGCAGAGGGGGTTGAAGCTGGTCCCAAGGGGCAGCCGAGGTCCAGCCGCAGGTGGCAAGGGGCAGGACCAGGGCAGCTCCCTTTGTTCCCACGCGCCCCCCTGGCCTGTATCCCACTGAGGGACCTTTGGGTGAAAGTCGGCCTCCGCTGCCCCTGTGCCAGCCCAGGGAGACTCAGTGGCCTCCCCAGACTCGGAGGAAGAGGTTCTGGCCCCTTTCCTGAGAAGCAGATCTGGTGCCCGTGGGAGGAGTGCGTGTCTCCCTGGGGCCGGCCCCCAGGCATAGCAGCAGCTGTGCCGGTCACCCCCACAGCAGCCCCTCTTCCCTGCGGCCCTGCTGCCGCTCTGGGCCCTGACCCTGGTGTGTTTTCTCCGTTTCATCCTAGCTGTTCACCAGGTAACTCTGTGTGGCCCCGCTTTTGTCACTTGAGGGACCGGGGGACCCTGCCATCCATGTGTAGCAGACCAGGTGGGTCCTGCAGGCACTGCTTCTCCAGCCCCCCCCCACTTCCCCCCTTCCCTCGTGGCTTGGGATGGGCTTCTTTGCCCCACAGCCTGAGGAGAGCCAGTGGCCTCCCTGGGGGTGGCCCTCCCTCCTCCCCTCCCCTCTCCCCCCCACTGCCCCACGTCCCCTGCTGTTAGGGAGGGTGTTCAGAGGTTGTGCCAAGTAAGAGGTCCTCTGTTACTCTCCCCAGCATGACCCGCTGCTGCCTCCCCATCACGGCCACCCTTCCTTCCATCTCTCGTCTTGTCTGCCATCCAGGGCTGTCCTGGGGGAGGGGGCACATCAGAGAACACAGACATATGGGTCATCTGGGGACTCGCTTATATGTGCATGCGCGTGTGGGGGGGTGACGGGGAGGGAGGGAGGCAGGAGGAATCCCCTCTTGGAAAGGGGCCTGAGTACAGGGGCCAGCAGCCCGTGGACCTGGAGAGGTTAGTGCCAGAGGCAGGTGGGGGGCTCGTGAGTGCCCTGCTTTGTGTGGCTGGTGGACTGGGGGGGGAGAGGAGAGGGGGGAGACGCTCCCTTTGAGGGCTCTGGGATTCCTGGCTGGCCCCTCCTGAAAACCTTGTGGGGGGGCAGTTTTTATTTTATTTTATTTATTTATTTATTTATACTTCACATTTATATAGCTGCCCATCTCACAGTGACTCTGGGTGGCGTAGAACAATTGAAATAAAATAACAAATAAATAAAAACAGGCATTACGAAAAGACAAAAAGTTATCAGAATAAAAGCAGTCTGCAACAGACCCCTGGTGGTATACCATCCCAAGACCTGGTGAGCCCCCCAGGAGCTCCCCCCCCACTGCCCTGCCTGATGGAGGGCAAACAGTTGGGGCTACACAGCCTCTTTGGCATCTCCTCCTCCTCACACGGGAGGAAGCCCATCTGACTCCAGGAGATTGGGCTCCAGTTGCGAGCTAATTTGCTGCCCGGCCACCCCTGTACACTTAGTGTGGGAGTCCCACAGGGACCCCAATTTCAGCTACCGGGCACACAATGGGGAGAGTACCTAGAGGGGCGACTGGGTGGCTGATGGGAGCTGGAAGGGGTCCTGCGGGTGGAAGAAAACAAGACAGAAGGGCATCAAAAGTGGGGCTGCACGGAGACGTCCCTCCTCCTTGGCGGAGGCCTCTATGTCCAGAGCCCCCGGGCTGGTCCTGGGGTGGCCTGGTGGCCCCCATCTTCATCACGGGAGGTCCTGTGGGTCCCGGGGTAGGGGTCCTGAAGAAGACAGTGAGACCCCCCTGGGCTGGATAGAAGCCCCAGGCTCCAGAGCCCTCCTGTTTGGGGGGTCTTGATCCCAGTGGACCCCTTAGTGCAAGGAAGGGAGGCCAGGGTGATGCGGGGGAGGGGGGACGGCCTTCGGGGGTGGAGTAGGCAGCCTTCCTGGGGGGGAGTTGAGCAGGTGCCTTGCAAGGGCCCGGGCCCCCTAACCTTAATAAATAAGGGGCGCGCTCTCTCGTTCTTGCTCTCTTGCAGGAGAGGCAGCTTTCCGCCGTGGGTGCAGCAAACCCGCGTC